CGGTCAGAGAAGCCGTTCTCCCAACAAAAACAGAACCTCTTCAAGGTAATGTTTCAAGAAATTTGAGACCATGAAATACGATCTGCACTTGTTCTTTGTGCTTTTTGCAACATGGCCTCTTTTCTCTGACGCTGAAATGGTTAATAGCTCCATGGGAATGAGATGTTAACTTGTATTTTTTTGAAAAATCTCAATAAAAACTGTAATAAAGTATCTGAGCATTTCCAAAAAAGTCTGCTTTAAACCCCAAAAACCCCTAGAACTTGTGCGAATGGTGTAACCAATTGAAACACTCAAGTCAATCATGAAGTTTGTTTCGGCACAGCCAAATTTTTCTTAATAAAAAATGATCTTTAGAGTTGAAAATGAAAAAAGGAAAGCGCGAAAAAGACGAAAATGGAAAGAAGAAATGTTGAATTGTGTGTCAAAATAATTCAACAATTCCTAGTAAAAGAAGGACGCATGGAGCACCCCACAAATGGGCAACTCCCCGTCCGATTCGGGCGTTCGACAAATAATGAATACTTTTCATATTTCTGTTCAGAACCTATAGGTTTTATTCACCCTCCGAAATTGGTCGAAATAATTTTAGGTCAAAAGTCCTAGTCCTAGCTCTCTCCCCCTTTCGCTCACGTCACCATTTCTTTTTTCTGTACGCCTACCAAAGCACCACAGAAATTCTCCCTGCTCTTTTTCGCTTTTCGTGATGATTAATATTTAGTAAAGCTCATTTGCATTTACACGTAACTTGCTGTATTGAACGCTAAACTGACTTCTTCTACGAAGAAGCACAGTGCAAATCATTGAAAGTATGGGCCATGAGAATTTAATCGTTGTTTTTTTCGAAACATTTAAATCAGTTAGGCAAGCGTATATCTTGATGGGCTGTGGCTCAGGTGATGTAGTACAAAGGGAAGGTTGGTTGCTGTGTCGATTTCATAGGGTCAACTCGTCGCAGTCGTGCACGAGTTAGCTCACTTCTGGATTCTTGCGTAATTCATACAGTTCGAATGATAAGCGATCATTATTTTCGGGGAACGGAACATTCACCCAGAATTGAATGGACGCAGCCAATGGCGCGGCGAAATTCATGGCGTTTAGGACGACTTTGACACCTATCACTGAGGCGAGTACATTAGTATGGTTAGATGATCGTAGTAATCGACTCTACATCGAATTTGGGCCACAGTGATAGACGCTAAAGTAGTTTAAATCGTCACAAATTTCGCCGCGCGATCGCCGTCCATCCAGTTCAGGGTGAATGTATCCATACCCTTTTTTCGTCGCTCTGCTTTCCGCTTTACAATCCATCTTTGCAGAGTCGGTTAATTGGTATCAGACTCACCCAGTAAGATAAAAGCAGTGACTTCTAACACAATGGCTGGCCACCGCAAAACTTGTGTGGCCGCATATGCATTCGAACCTACATTACAATACTGGATGGAAGTTAGATATGAGGCGCATCCCAGAAATGGATGGGTTTGATTAATGTTAGAAGGGGTGTACGATCATCCGTAATGATGAACCCTAGTGTTTCACTTTGCCCTATGTGGAGAGCGGTAAGACTATCCTAACAAACAGAATGGAAATCTCGTGCAGTGTTAATGATGCAGTAGTAATTGATAGACCCCTCAGAAATTACCAGATAGTCAGATATGAACACCGATGTATTCCACACTCAGTAACACTTTCAAATTAGAAGATGTAGTGGCAGTAAATTAACTGAGACTACGGTTTCCATCTTCTGCTCTAACTGCGCCTAAGTCGTTGTACCTTATGATTTTCGAGCGCTTTAAGGTTAGTGAAGGCTCTAAAACTCAGGAAATCATTCTCGCTTCACTGTTAGGAGCGGCATTCAAATGTAACGACCCGGTAATTGAAAATTATTAATGCTTTGAAAACTGTCTGAACTCAGTATAGCTTTTTGAAAAAGAAATGTTCTGTGGGGTTCGTGTAAATGTGCTCAATACTGTATCCCCAAGACATCCATTCCTTTTCCTCACAACTTTTGAATAGAACCTTTAAGAAGGTAATCATGAGCCGTTGACCAAATCTGAGAGCGAATTTTGCTTTAGGCAAACCAGCTTCCTACATTTCAAGGTTGTTTAGCCTCGTCTTAGAGCAACATAATTAGATCGTAAGACAACTTACATCCGTAATTCATACTGCAAAGGCCAAGACATATCAAGTGAAACCACAGGTCTTTCTTGAAATTCGTCGCGCATCTCAAAATTTACCGCTTATTTCCGAGCGACTCGTCCTAGTAATCATTACCATGTCGTTCAATGCTGCTCACACTGAGCCGCGATTTGGAGTTGGTAAAAAGGGTGAATCGAGGCCGGGTCCATGCGGGCGACGAAAACATAGGACTTCATGTTGAACGGTTTCGTAAAGTCAGTGTGAGAGCAAATTTCCTAGTTCTCATGATCACGAATTGGATTCGTGGCGCATTCCAGCTACTTCAGTCAGAGGGCACATTCCAGTGCTTTGCTCAAAGAGGGTGCGTGACCATTGGTACTATGCGGTTTTCCGAAGTGTTCCAGGAGCTAATTCTTCGGGAAATGGAAAGAATCGATGGAATGTGCCTTTGATTTCCTTCGAGAGAAACGGAAGGCAAATTTGATTTCTCTGCAATCTGTTTGTTGGAAACTCATTTCTCGAGAACCTTCAATGCTCTCTTCGAGGGGACGGAAAATCAGAGAACTGGTTTTGATGGTAAGAGGCAATTTCAAGCTATTTTCATTGCTTAAATAAATCCTTCTGATCAGTTCTGTTTCGAAAAGATCATAAAGAGACCTTTATGTCAATTGAAACAGCCCAAAGTTTATTGTCACGTGGCAGTTGTCGAAGAGAAACGGAAAAATTCGTAGTAGATTCCATCTTCATCTCAAAAAAAAAGCAAAGGCTGAAATCTTAGGAGAGCATACCGGTATTTAGGTCTTTTTTGATTGGGCAAATAGGTGAACAAACAAATAAACAAATAGGTAGGGAAACGTTTCCGGAGTAATCATTTCTAAATTCAAGTGAGTGAGCGAGCGCGCCCAGTGGAGCGGCTGATATTATGTTACGCGAATCGTCGGATTAGGAAGGTTCATCTTTAAAGCATTAATACAAAGAGAAGGCAGCGTGTCCCATCGCCATATCGAAATTACGTCATTAAACAATAAACGTCGTACGGACAATGGACATAGACTGCTTATGCAAACGACTGTAAGATTGGTTATACAAACGTCTCTACTACAGTAACAAAATATAACTCAACTCTGGATTCGGAAGGCTTCGCCTCTGATATGGAAAGACGTGGGCAACAGACAAGAAGGAACAGAGGAGCCAGCGCCGTTCGCGGTGGCTTCCGCTAGAGGACTCCTCGTCGCATCGGCTTATGACCAAAAAGCTTGCGTTCTACAGGTCTTACAGCTGAACTGGCGAAAAATTTGCTCTGGTAGTTCGAAGTACAACTACCTCCTTTTTACGTCCTTGTACCGAATCCACAGTGGTTAGCTCAATGCCGCGCTGGACCGTTTGGAAGTGGCGAGACTGTTCCTTGTAGAGCGTGATGGCGCACACCTGTGGTGGTTGGATGCGATTTCCGAACAGAAGCTCAGTTGATCAAATACATGTTAGGGCTTCGGCCGTGTTAAAGTGAATCTTACTGACTGCTTTCTCAGAGAGACCCTAAATATCGAGAAACAGAAAATGCACTCCCGTGGTGGGTGGGGAATCGCATAGCGGACAGCAAGAGCGGTTTCGAGGCTTGGTGACACCACGCGTGGGGTTCAAGTTAGTGTATGTCACCTATGTACCGCTGTTTCGCTTCCGTAATACGGCTAGCTATAGCTATTAAGGCAGGTTAAGTGATCCGAGACGCCTCGTCCCCTATTATAGCCCCAAATGGCGAAAGAGACAGTTGTCTGTGTCCATGGAGTTTAGGAGCGACGCGGTAGCGAGGCAAACTTCAGCTGAGCGTCGAACCCGGAACATGAGTTCGACCATATTCTTTATTGATTGAGAGACCTGAGCGTTCCGCAGTCTAATGCTGGTCCACTTCATACATCTGTACGAATTCGCCAAAATCTGCTGTGTCACTAGACATATGGAGCACTACCCCAAGCTGAGGAAAGTCATCAAGGTGTAATCAGGTCTCTATGAATTGGGGATAGCCGCATTAGTAGTCGTTGTCACAACTACTATCGATGGTGGTGCGATGCAATAAACGCCGCTATTACGGCTCTCACCATGGTTTTACCAGTTCCAAAAGCCGCGTATATCGCTACATTTAGCTCGTCGCTATTGCGAGTCGGCTTCCACCTGGTAGTTGGTTGGCTCCATGGCTGTTCCGCGTACCTGAAAAGAAGGGGCAGCCACGATGAGGTTGCTTCCACACGATTCATAGGAGCGTCCAGTGGTCCTTCGAAGATCAAGTCCGCACCTTCTGGCGAGTGATGTAGGGCTCGAATCGACGAAGGCCTTCGTATGTGCTATGGCTTCATAGATAGGGTTGGCGCGGTTCGTTTGTCTGCCGAGACGCACATCTGAACCCTCAAAGCTTAGTAAGCCGGAATAGCTACCATACCTGTGGATTGCGTCGTTGATGGTGACTTTTAGATTCAAGTCGACTTGACGAATCTCGACGCGACTTAAATACGCTCGGAATATGCTTCTGGAGCCGAGAACGTGCATGGGTATGGGGCGTTAATGACACCAACCATCCTCCGAGGTCATATCAGTCAGAATGAAATTCAGTCTCGTGGGGCAGTGATATGGAAGAGTCGTCGAGGCCCTCAGTCGATGGGATTGGTGATCGTACTCCGCAGAGTTGATTGCTGCTAGGGTAGAGTACGCCGCGTTGAACAACGCTGAACAACTTCGACATGCGTAGACTTGCCTCATCGCGGTTGCTGCGACAGCTTTCGAAAGGACCTACGTGATCTGCTAATCACGCGTGGTCACTTTTCTGCAGCTGCCGAACCCGGAGCGGGACTAACCCTTCGAGTGGGTGCATGGAAAGAAATTGGCGGACTAGCATGCACAAGGCTGTACGAGCCCCGACAGAAGCCGGTGGTACCGAAAAACGCGTAGCGCAGGAGTCCGTGCGGTGCCCTTTGGATACACCGGTGAATACGTTCTATCTCGTTTCCAAGGTAAGAAGCTGCCAGGTTTCGATGGCCGAATGAGCTGCGCACAGTGAAGACTGTATCGTTTTTCAAGGTTAATGCCCAGTCAGTTAGTCCTATCGCAGAGAGCCGTAAGCGCGTGATGGGACAAAGCTCCCGTCGATCCCATTAAACCATCTGCGGCCGCCTGCGCCGCCAAATGGTTGGACCACGCCGACGTCATAGGTGGCCGGGCGCTGTATTTTGGTGGTACGAAAGCGGGTTCCCTCGATCGGAGATAGTAAGACCGTGCCGCAATCCCGAATCTTACTACTGGTGTTGCGCCAGGAAAACACAAACTCCTTTGGATCGCTTATCCAGATATCGTCTACGCTATGGCTGGACATCTTGGTCACCGACACAAAATGGCGCACTCTTCGGTATTGGGTGTCCGCACCAAGGCAGAGACGTCGCTTAGTGTACAGCTACCTGAATTGAGGTCTCGCGCTGGGAATCTGGGAAGCAAGACACATGACGCTCATAGGTGTCGATGGGTATTACGTAACAATTAGCTGCAGACACGAGGTGTTCAGAGAAGCATCCCTACATGGAGTGGAGGGCCACGAGATATGCAGAATATTAGAAGTAGCCCAGGTATCACCCAGTTGACTGTGGGTTCTCATGAGCGCATCGGTGAGCTGGATCATGAATTTGCCAAGCTTTAAAGGGAGCGATTTCCAGAGTCTCGGAGTGGTTCTCAAATCGTACTCCAAAAAAGTTGACAGAGTAGATCGCTGTGTGTGTCATAATTTTACAAAAGAAAGCAGACTTATCATAACGTTTTGTGTTCGAGCGACACACGTATAGAGAGAGTATCGCTTAAGACGAGGAATAGTGTACGAACAATTATATGATGATGGAATTCTCATAAATGCGTCCGACGAATCCTGTGGACAGACCATGCGGACATCGGGAATGCCGCTCCAGCAAAGGGAATGCGCCACGTGCGGCACTGGAAATTTGACCCGAGGCAAATGAGTCAAACCAGATCTAGGGGATGATGAAGCCAGACTGCTAAATGAACTATAAGCCAATTACTTTCAATGAGAGTACTTGCTCTCGCTTCAGATCATTCTGGCGCTGATTGAATTTCGCGTTAGACAGAAAGAGCGTATTTGCTCGAATGCTTCCAAAAGGTCGAGAGTCTGATCACGGCGAGCCGGATACATTTTAGAAGATGGAGAAGGATGCGAAGACGACGATCAAGTGGACGAGAACGCACATTGTAGGAAGGCGTTCCTGTAGGTCTGCGCTGGTTCCGTGATGAAGGGCACTGCCGAGCGAAGTTTTCGCTGCCTCCACAGTTGTAGCGGGTTGGGGAGGTCCTTTTAGAGTGTCCCGTAAATATCCGTTGTGACGCTGCCTCTGGAATGTACGGTTTAGATTGAACCGTAAAGGATTCGAACACTGATATTTTCCATGCCTAGGGCTTAACGCTCGAGAGCGTCGATCGCGTCTGGGCCTGAACCTACTAGGAACTGCTGTGTTAACCTCGATAGGTCTAGGAGGGACTGAAGGTGTGACCAAACAGGCTGTGACCTCAGCTCATAACAGTTCTACCATTTGAGCTTTTGAGACGCCTGCTCAGAAAAAGGCGGGTTATCAAGCTTGGGGTAGTACCTGATATCACAACGAAGGCGAGCGACAAACTCTTCCAAGACACGCTCCTTATAGCGGGATCCTGGCCTGTAATAGCCGCACGGAGTAAAGTATGCAAGCGGTTAACAAACGTAGCTGAAGATCCACTTGTCTGCTGCACGCAAGCGGACAAAGCTTGCCGCTCCATATACCCTTGCTAGGGTCCTTCGAACGACTTCCTAAGGTGGACTATGATGGCGCCAAGTTCTCGCGGTCATCCAGAAAGAGCCCATTGACTTTCCCTCTTGCCCCTGCATCCTGAAAGCTTTCTGCTGAGAGGTCTATGGAGCGGATCGCATCCTCATGTCGCCTTCCAGACGACGTAACCACCTTAAGAATTGCATCGGATAGTCATCGGATCCGACGAAAGGCACAATCTATGTAAGGGCTCAACGGCTTGAGGGGGTTTATGGAGTTGTAACAACAACTGCTTCGTTGGTAAATTTTTCTTACGGTGAGAAAACAAAAAGTTATAAGCACAGGTCACGTTAAAATTGCCTCTGAGATTTCTCCGTTGGGAGAATCTGTTAATAAGGGCCCTGAAACCGGCTTAGCCGAAGTACGCACCATGGGCGCATGAGTTATTAATTGTGGTAAAAGCTATAGAGATTGCATCATTCGCACAGGGACCCACACCTTGCACACAGACAGCGTGTTGCAGTCAGCTGTATTCAATGGCCATAGCCGTACATATGGTCAGCTCGTCCAAATACCCTTTCCAAGCAGCTTTTCTCGTCAAATTCCCGTCCAGCCCCTAATTTTACTTCTTATTGAAGCCTTACATTTATTTAAATAAGTCGATTTCCGCGCTTTGCGCTACTCTGAACAATCACTTCCATCACTCGTCTTGAACTAGATACCCCAAAATTATCGTAACTTTCGCATCAGTAGACTCTGTACATCACGACGAAAACGTCTATGCTTTCAAAAGTTCTCTCATCTCGAAAACAAAGGAAATTTGCGGATATAATTCACAAGGGTTAGTCGATGCTGCTCAACTCAGGCAGTGGTCGGTGAACTGCGACTGTGTGCGTGAACCTTGAGGTTTTTCCCCAATATGGTTAGTGTCTGATTCACGCTTAAACCAACTAAGCGTTCTACCCCATCGGGATCGCTTAATCAGTCCCAGGCTTGTCTGGGAGGATAGAAGTTTTGACTAGTATAACATCGAACAAGCATTCAAAACGTCACTGCGATTTTGCATGGAAGTCGAATGAGTTGACGCGTCTCAAAAAGGATTGGTGAACACCGAAATAGTACTTCACTCTGTTTCATAGATGATTCAAAAGTACATTTTATTGTTAATGTAAATAAACCCCTATTAAGTCGCCTACGTTTCATTTGACAATAAAAATATTCCTATTCGAGAGAGGCCTTTGAGAGAAAGCTATCTGCACATTGCATGTAGGCATGCTTCGTTTTATTAAAAAATTGTGGATATACCGAATAGAATTTAAGAAAATGGATTCATCTTAACAAGTGTTTGACTCCCTCAAATTCATGGTACGCAAGTCCTAGAAAAGGTTCTATTTGTATCGATGTCTAATGAATTTTTGAACTTCCAAAATTGGCATCATAAATTTCTGAAGACTCGATTTACATTCTCAGTAGGGCGACGGATAGAAGACTAAACTGCTGAAATTGTATTTCATGGCCGATGTCTTGAACTTTCCGGCTCTACTACCACCTGGGAAGAATCATATGTATTCCTAGGTATCGTACCTGTTTACACGCCTACAACAAATAAACAACCTCTTCAATAAACTTTCCATCAGCAGGAATATTTTTATGGCGGGAAAAGTCTCCATTTGAATGTTACTTTTTTTCAGGAGGCGGGAAAACGATGTTCATCGCGTGGCGCACAAATTTGAAAAGCTGATCTTGATCTACAATCAATCGATCACCAATAATCGACGGCGTCTCTTCTCAGTGTCCACTCGACTTGCTTATCGATCGCCTGCGGCCGGTCTTCCATCCGTCTGTGAGTTCACTTTTTTCGAGNAGCAGGAATATTTTTATGGCGGGAAAAGTCTCCATTTGAATGTTACTTTTTTCAGGAGGCGGGAAAACGATGTTCATCGCGTGGCGCACAAATTTGAAAAGCTGATCTTGGTCTACAATCAATCGATCACCAATCGACGGCGTCTCTTCTCAGTGTCCACTCGACTTGCTTATCGATCGCCTGCGGCCGGTCTTCCATCCGTCTGTGAGTTCACTTTTTTCGAGTAATTTTCAGAATTTCAGTTTTTTCTTTCTCATCGGGTCCCCGACATGCTGAGGGGACTTCTCTTTACCAATTACTTTTCTCATTTTCTATTACGAGTTCTTTGTCATTACCTGCGACTACCAGGGACAAAGTAATTCTAATCGATAACGGCAAGGTTGCCCTTATTTTCAACTTTTTCAGAATTATTTTCTTTTTACTTGCCATCTCATTAATTGGGAGAGATGGAAGGTCTTAAGAGATAAGCTGAAAGGTAAAGATCGCTTTAAGAAAACAGTTCTGTTGAAGAGAAGTTTATGAGACCGTCTTTATTGGCCATAATAAATATAATAGAATAAATATAATAAATTATGAACAATAAGAATGACGAAAAAAATCGGAAAGACCGAAAACGGCGGGGCTTCCCTAAGGAATACAACTTGTCGACAAAGCAACGCACAGAACAAGTGTAGCAGAACAAATGGCGACAAAAGTGGCGCGGTACCGGCCTGGTAGCTGCACCGCAGGAGAAGACGCGTGCGGCACTTGCATGCCGCGCGTCCATCACGAGCCGCGACACGTACGCATCGCGTGCGTGCAGGGAAACAATGCAATACGTCACATTAAGGCCAAAAAAACAATATCAGTAATTGTTGAACACGGTGAGTATTGAGCGACTATTATTTAAACAATTAACGACGTCTTCTCCTCCTTTTCCATTTCGGTCTCCATCGGTGAATCATTCATTTTTAGATCTGAATAAAGAAGAAGTTAAAAACGTGTTCAGGGTAGGTGTAGTGGTTAAGGGTGTTCTCCCATGAGGTGAGGGATGAATTGAGGAAAAGAGCGTAAGCGGATAAAACAGGTGAAGTCTTACGTTTACGTCGAACACATGCAATACCCTGCGAGTAAGCAATAGGCGAACATTGACAGACTCCTGCGTGGCACAGCGACAATCCTTCCGTGTGCCCCACACATTCCGCATCGCTAAGGCATCGTCCGCCGATCGGACGAATGGCTGGAGACAAATGTTTGGCCATGCGCCCTCTCGTTACGTCTTACCCTTGTAGTACTCACTATGTTGCGATGATGGCGCGATGATGTCGTTTCCTCCAGGCGGACAGCACAGACCGATGCTCGAGACGCACTCGAACTCGGCACCACAACGACCGTTTGAGAAACAACCGCTCACAGCCAGCTCACCGTTCGGACACATGCCTAAACGGCTCAGCATGGCTATCCACGACAGTCAGTGGCAGAGAATGCGAAGATCCGTGGTTCAGGCTCACTTTTCAGATTTGATCCCTGTTGTTGGACAGGAGGACAACACAGACCGTTCTGACATTCATGACCAACACCACACAGACCGTTTATACAACCTCCAGCCGGCTTCGAACCGTCACTGCACGAATTTGCACGAGCTGAAGCAATGCCACGTGCGAGTATGGAATATGTGTATATGCATGCAGGGTGGTTGTTCAAAAGGAATGTTCACAAGGATTGGTCGGGATGAGTTGAAACACGGTGGCGATTTGTGAGGAGAGCAAGTCAGAAAAGTTGGATGTACTCATTGACAGTGAGCCTCTTGTGAACGCTCACTTCAGCGTTCCCAATGGTAAACTTATCTCCTTTAGCAGTGACCTCAACGGGGAGTACATACAGTACCGAACGACTCGCTTATAGAATCGCTCACATGATCATCTTACCTACTGTTCCCGAGCCAAAAGCTGACTAAGGGAGCTCACTACAGTCACACTCCATTCTTAGGCCCAACCAGGCACAACTTTTCCAAAGCTGGCCATTTGACCAAACCATTGGTCTAATGGCCAGCTTTGGAAAAGTGCTTGGTGACGTGAAAATAGAAGGAATAATCGGCAACGTCAGACGTTGATAGTGTAATTGTGCTAAAAACAGTATTCTCGTGAAGATAACATTTGCTCTCCAGAATTGGGGGAACTCCTACCAAATCGCTACCGTATTGGACATTTGTGGTGTTTCAAGGGTGCACGGAGCGTAGAATTGCGAGAGTAAGCATACGTGGCATATAACTGTGAAGCGGTCGTCCGTATGTTGGCCGCTTCTTGAGGGCGGTGTTGAGTCGTCCGAAGGCCGTCGTTGTTGGACAGCAAATGTCCGCGTACGTGTTACAGGTGTATCCGGTCTGACAAGCTCCATTATTGCATGGACCAGCTTGTACAGCGGCGGCACACAGATTCGGCACTAAAATAGAAACCACCAAATGTACACTGATTAAAGTCAAAGATGAGCTGAAGAAGTAGTCCACTGTGGTGTGGTGATGATGGCTGACCAGTTTGAAGATCCACACAGACACCATCGTTAGTTCCGTCGGCATTGGCACTAGATGGCGGATATACTGCCACGTAACCAACTGGGCACATTCCCGAGACGGCAGGTCCAATTTGATATTGTGGATCTTGGTAGTTGACAACTGGACAGCATTGTGGATTCGTCGGATCGTTGTCACACGCGTATCCGACACCGCATCCAGCAGCGGTACATGGACCTATTCCCATTGAAGCTACTTCACAGTTGCCCTGTAAACATGCAGTTATCACATACGATTCAAACTCTGTTTATATTTCATCGCATATCACTACGAGGATCAGCTATAGTGGATTTTTTTATCTAGCCAAAGCGTATTAAAGCCCTTCCGAAAAGAGAGGGTATGTTTTATTCGGGGTTATGTGAAATCGTTGTCGGCTATTGCTGTAATGCCGCCCCCTCTTTCAGCTCGATCTTTTCTAAAAGATCAGAAAAACAAGAGGTCTAAATGCTGACGGAAAATGAGGGGGTCCCTATTCTTCAGGTCCGATCCTCGTCGTTTACTGTGATATCAGATTCACGACAGCTCCCCATCATGCGACACACTCAGAACATTTAGACGAATGTCGTATAAATGTTCTGAGCGCGTGCATGCCTGAGTAAAAACGTGTTCGCGATGAAATACAACGTCAAAGACACTATTTAGAAAGTATGGAGACAGTAAAAACGTGCATATTGGTTATGATAAATCAATCATAATCAATGAGCATGACGTACGTTTATTTCAACTAACGTTAGATTTTCAGAGGAAATGATAAGAAACTGAAAAAAACTCAAAAAGGGCAACATAAGAACGGAGCAGTTCTTCGTTGAAAGATGAGTTGGTAGAACTGAAAGGATTAGTACCGAAAAGGCTGGAAAGTGACAGAGTTCGATTGTTTTCAAAGTGGATTCGCTGGAAGAAAGAGATAGTTTGAGAAGTTCATAGTTTCCGCAGTTCTCTAGTAGTACTCATCGTTGAAAGCCCTATTTCTCCTAACTTATACCAGCTCTCAAAAGCACCTGCCATGATTCAATACATCTACAGGTTTAAGGCTAGGAACACTCATAGTATTAGGGCTAGACATCAACAGTTTGAAGGGTGTCTTTCGTCTATTGTAGTTTCCTTTATTCAGGTATTTTATCCTAATTGTGTCCGTATCTTTTACTGACTTCAATTCTCCGTTTCTTTTGCAGCTTTAGTTCATCAGAAAAAGGATTTCAAGAATTTTCTATTTCAAAAGTTTCATGAGCAAGGTAGTATCAAGGCTAGGCTCCGACTTGATCCCCTTCCAGAGCAGAATGTCCTACTCGTGATCGTACAAGAATGCCACCTTAGAGGTAGGGCATTCTACTGTGAATAAGGAACAGCCAGCGTTTACATACATATCTACTGTATGTCTGATTTTCAGTATCTTTTCTTAAAGCACTGTGCATGTGTCAGTACAAATGTTCCTCACTGACTATTAACTTATGGATTTGAATTTGGTGCAAATTTTCATCCTGGCGGTAAAATGTCTCGATGACTCCCCGTCTCGAATTCCACTGTCAAACTCTAGTAGAAATCCACTTACCACGAGTACTGTAGAAGCTGTTGACGGACAACAGACAGTTCCGGTCAAAGTGGTGCCTGTCGGGCAGAGACCATTGACCGGAGGAGTTCCTGCGCTTCCATCTGGACAAGTAGCAGCGACATTACTGCAGCAAAGACTGCCTTGTAGGTTGTATCCTGCAGGACAGAGACCGTTCACTGGTGGACCGATTGGTTCACCTCCCTGTGGGCAGCCTGAAATTCATCGTTGGTTGTGTTGCTTTTCTATAGAGATTTCTCTACACTACTGGAGTACTCACTTGTGACAGGACAGCAGATGTTTCCAGTTGTGCAAGTGTATCCTGAACCACAGTAGTAGGAAATCTGAACGGCTCCACAGTTTCCTCCTTGGCAAGACGGGATGCAAGCGCCGACGGCTTCTGAGCCATCCAAGCATCGCACGGCTGATGATGATCCACCAAGACAGCAGAGACCGTTCTGGCATGTGTAGCCAGCTCCACACTGTCCGTTTACGCAACCACCAGCGGCTTGGTTACCGTTCGGGCAAACTGAAAGTGGCTGCGTTTTCGAAATGTCTGCCATTGCATTGCATTAATAATGGAACACTAATACTCACCGAAAGGATTCTTCGTGACGGGGGTAGCACAGCATTGGTTTTGGATGCAGGAGTAGCCAGTAGCACAAGCACCATTGATACATCCACCAACGGCAGGAGATCCAGATGGGCACGCGACTGAAAATACAGAGGATAAGGGTATTACTGAGTTGAAAATATAAGGATTAGTCTGTAACTCGATAATGGATAAACGGAAGACTTACACACTGGCATTTGAATCCTAGGAGGCGCATACTGAGGGCAGCAAACATTCTGTATGCATGAGAATCCAGGTGAACAGAATCCAGCGTTACATTGACCGACAGGGAAGCCTCCTCCAGGACAGGTAGCAGCTGCTGAAATAAGTAACTCTTCAAAATTTGTCCATTCATGGATGGAATCAGATACTACAGCAAGGTCTCAGCAGCAATCACGTCTCTGCCTTCGAATTAACTTCAATAGGTTCGAATAGGTCTGTGAGATAGCGTATCGGTCAATGAAGAGCGGGTGCCTCGTAGTGGCCTGTTCGCTTTATGAACGACTCTTGCATCCTATCTGATCAAAGGCATGTTAGGTTCACTTGCTGTGAAAGTCGACTTTTTGCTGGTGCACTCAGCTTGAAGGACGACCCACATGGAAATGTATGTACATTGACTGATTCGCGATATTCGCTACACTGTCCAGTCGTGCAATACAACTGTCTTACGTTTCAAATGTGATGAATAGCTTCCTATACTTCTCAGGCTACCGCTGTCGGTTCTCGCTATTCTGTGGAAACCTGTTTTTCAAAGGACCCTTGAACGAGTGAATACAATTTTCTGCAGCCATACCGTATCGGCTAAAATAGTAATGAGCCAGATTACTAACTAAGCTGTGAAGTCAGGAAAACGGTGATGGCTACGGTGTCTGCGAAAAATCAGTCACACGTCCTTCTTCAAATCCTAGGCTCTGATGGATAAGTTGCAGAAAAAAACATTCAGTTCACTGGACTTGACTAGCCAGCCGGATTAATACTACCCAAGTCAGGCGAACATTCACGCTGAGCGCTTACGCGATACATCAGGGGGAGGTAATGGAGTAAGAGGCTGAGCACAATTATCCAGCTGATTCAGCTGTTGCTAGAAAATTACACTTTTTACACGCTATCTGGGCAGATGTCCAAATTAGGAAGTACTCATTAGGAACAAAGCAAAACTGAATAAAGAAGATTTTAAAACAGAAAAAGCATGTTATACATACGTAGAGCGAAGAGTTGCGGAGGAGCGGCCTGGACGCAACCAACACAATTTGAGGATGCGATCGGCACTGGTGGCACTAGAATAAACGAAAGAAATTGCATGAACTGAATCGATTAGATTAAGCAGAGTTAGAAGCATGCGGTTCGCACTGACTGCATGGATATCGTCGACAGGGTCGGGAATGTTTCCTCCTGTTGGTATCAGAGGAATATTCGTCGGTCGTCTGTGGGGCAGGCGATCCGAGGAATTCGTTTTTCCACGACTCGATACTCTGTGGAACAGTGTTGGCGTCAATCAGTGGAAGAACCAGCGGACAGCACGCATTCAATGATGCGTCGCAAGATAGCCCCGGTGGACATAGACCGTCAGTCGAACACCGTAACGTACTGTTGAAACCACCAGCACAGCTACCTGAAGAGTGCAACATGCGAAGGGTGTGATGGTGGGAATGAGTGCAGTGATGGTGTTATTCCGGCCGTGGTTGATTTCGGCCAGGTGATCAAAAGCAACCGAACGCGTGGTGACGTGGACATGCCAGGAGTTTACCAAAACGAATGGAAAGTCCTAGGAATTGCGTAGTCACGGTCAACGGACCTTTTCGAACTTAAGGAGAGAATGGAAGCCGTGGCCATTCACACGGCCGGAACAACGTCCCTGGATCTGAAAGCGGCACCAGTACAGGTCGGGTCAATGCTTTGCAGGTTGATGTAACCACAGAATGGAATGAATGGCTCTCAAAAAGAGGCGTAGTCTCTCACACCTCTCACAGGTGCCTCGATTAATCGTTGGATTATGTGGATGAAAAACCACTGGTGCTGCTTTCTTTTCGATAAGGATTTTGCAGGAACCACATACTACCATCTCCAGCGGCTTTGACGAGCACCGCGTCAAGATTTGCAAGATGTTCGGGGAACCCATAACCTGGCGGTCCGATTGGCCAATCGTTCTCTTCGAGTTCTTTCGATTTGACGTTGTTGGCTTCGGTTAGTGACCTAATGGTGCGTGAGTGTTGTGTTCGTGCTGGAACCATGCTGTAGGTTAGATGGGATGGGTTGTAATCGTGCTGAAACTAAACTCACTGAATGAAGGCATTGCGCTAGAACTGCAACAGTAACCATTGTTACAAGTTCCAACGGAGCATGGATTTGTGTTGGAGCACGACGAGAACGTGCACAGTAGTCCATTCGCTTGCTGTCCTGAAATTGGAGTCGTCTTGGAGAGTTCATCTGGCTTTTGCGAAACCGAATGCGTAATGCGTAGTCGGAAAAGGTCCTCCGAAGACAATACTCATTAGAGAAAGCATGCTTGTTAGTAGAAAATGGTTTATTTCGTCATGCAATAGGTTAAAAGGCAAGAAAAGCTGATCGAAATTATGACGGCAGCGCTGCTCAAGGACGATGGCAGTGAGCACCTGAAACGAAGCAGAGTATAGGTGTTCAAGCAGACATTCATATAATTTTCAAGCATACCTTCAAAATAATGGTAAGCAGCATCGTCCATGTCCATTGCAAAAATAAGGCGAGGGACATTGAAGGCTATACCGGCAGCTGTCGCCAAAGCGAGGGCTCACCTCGACACTGCCCGGAGGGCATGCTGATTCAACAGGAGAATCTCCTGAATGAGGGATTCTATTATGGTTCTGTGCTGATCGATTACTGATTGAATCACTCATTAAGTGATCCCTTGGTAAGTACAAGCGCAACCTCTTTAGTACTCACCTCTCATGCAGCAAATGTTCATTCTTTCGCCCAACGTGTAGCAGATGTGCATCGGACTTGGGCACATCGCCATGCCCCCACACATGGCTTCAGGTATCGAGCCATCCGGGCAGCTGGCAGGTAATTGACAACATCGTCCATCCAATGTGCAAGTGAACCCTAGTGGACAGAGGGCGCCCATCAAACATCCTTGATTCATTAGGCATTGCAGCTAAAAGAAACACCATTGCAAGCTGCCATGGCTCGAAAAAGGTAGTTTTATTGAAGTAATTTTGTGTTCTGTCAAGTTAGTTGCTTATTTGCCCCTCGGAGCAGATGTTGAGATTGTTTGATCTTCCCCACTGCTTTCGGTAAATCTCAACAGATTGTATCTTTTTCTGATCGTCTCCCAGGCGAAAATAGGTAAAGAATTCAATAGTGAAAATATGGTTTCGATATGACTGGCGGGAGATGGATCAGAACAAAAGTTATTGCCCTATTTCACGCATAGCTTTCATGGTTATGTTATTCATAGCCATCCCCTTACGAGATGGTCAGTAGTAAAAACTATTATATGGGTAAGGGAGAAAATCAATGAGCTCATACTAACCTTTCTTATGGCAAAGTTGGAATCAACATGGCTGGTGATGTTCTTGGACTTCTTCATGAGCGACTTTTCATTCCAGAAAAGAGTCTTCTTCGTGTTCATCGGTTGATCCATAAAATTGCTGTCGAGTGGGCAGCATGTACTGTCCTCACAAAACGATGCTATGGGGCACTCGTCGGATTTACGGCACATCTTCGGCAACATCAACGGTCGCAGCCCGTTTCGGCAACGTTTCTCCTCCAACCTGCAGCATTGCCCGTCCATACATTCGCTGATTTCTGGACAAGGGTTGCTGAGACTGCACGAACGCACACGATTGTCTAATAGGCAGTCGTCCGTGGGTGCAAAAGCAGGCATGTGAGGACCTTGTGATGTTATCTTCTTCGATGACGGTAACACATTCGCTGACATTTTCGTTAGTACTGACTGAATACCATCAGAGTAAGCGGACTCTAATAGCTGCTGCGCTTGAGACTTGTAAGGATCCTGTATCACTTGCAAGTCTACGGCAACATCGGTGATCTTGTTTTGCTTCTCGGAACTCTCAGGTGATGCCTTTGCACGTTTCAGCCGACAACAACCACCGAAAAGGCACGTTTCGCCTGACCGGCATTGATAGATATTTGTGCAGGTGAACAGGACCTTGGCGCCATTCGGGCATACTTCCAAACGACAGCATTTGTTGAAGCAAGTAAATGTGGGAGGGCATTCTGTTGAATCGGCACAGGAGGCGTTCGGCATGTCACACGGTGCTGAAAGCAGAGCTGTCGAAGAAAAGAAATAAGATGGAGCAAAAGTAAAAATGCAAAGCGCGGTTCTCGGAGCTATGTTCCCTCAGAATCTGGGGATCGTGGGACAAGCACTACCCGCGAAATTCTATCCCATAGTGGGCGAATCTTGAGGATTCAGAAACAACGCTCAAATGCACCTGTAGCTGAGAGTTCGCTGAGCAAGCGATATGAATTGCTATGCTCAACGTCACTTCTCGTTGTATATGATGAGAGGATGACCGTCCTTATTACATCCCTTTCACACTTTATTTGGCCATTTCTCATTCTCGGTGTTAGTGAGAGATGCGTCATCTCGAATACGGCTGGAAACACGGAGTTACGAATACCGCTTTACCACCCTTTCACCTGTGCGAAGCACGCCACAATATATACTTAGGCTTTTGTGGAATGATCAATCTTTGACCCCCCTCTTCTCAACGTCTCACCCTCGATAGGTTGTTATCAAAGTGATCGCGTAATCCAGTGAAAAACGCAATTGGATGCATGTCTTTAGAAAGACACGCAGCTTTTTCGATGCGCTTCGTGAGCGGTTTGACATCGCGCAGGGTCGAATCGTAGCCGGTGAGCGCAAGCGCCTGTGACCAAACACTCATTAGCTGTCCGAGCGCGCGCGTAAGCAGCCCTAGCAAATACACATCAAAACTCACTCGAAACCTTCGACGACGATGAAGATGACAATGAAGCAGAACTGAACGTAGTCGCCCTTGAACCAATCGCTCGTCGCATTTTCGTTCCATTGCGGCGTTCATGGCCGTTGAGAAGCATTTTTAGCATCTTATGAAGGTCATTCATTGCTCGGCAACAGTTAGTAAATGTGTCGCATGCCATGCCAGAAGGGCAATCAGGAAGGCAGGGTGTGGAACAGGAATTCGATCGAACAGGGCAGCAGAGTCTGTGTGATGTGCAAAAAGTCCCCTGCGGACATGGACAGCGACCAATGGCCACGGATCCGTCCGCACAAGCGTCTGGAAGGGATTAGACGGGCGACAAGATCACAGCGAAAAGGTAAGGCAAGAAAGGAGAAGTGTTAAATTGAAAGTGGGAAGGAAAGAAGTTTAAAAGGAAGGATAGTTGTGGAGAAGGCCTGGCTTGGCTTTCGACTACGTTAGGTTGGGCCGGCCCACGGCTGCTGAGTGCTCTATTCGTTAACCGAGCTCAATTTCGTTCCCATTACCGCTAGAGAAAGGAATGCGTTGAAAGCAATCACCAGTTCACAAATGGAAGATATTGCATCCATTTAAAACTGCTTTATGAATTTTAGCCACTAGCTCTCCAGATGCAGCTCTCTGTAGCTCTCGAGGTAAATCGCGAGATCAGAAACCTGTGGGAACCTAGAAGCTTTAAACAAGCCAGGCTTTGGAGGAGGAGCGTGCAAGAAACCCTTATGGCCACTCACGTGATAGCGAACTCATTCGCTTTGGTACTATACAGGTTTGCTGTTCGAAATTGAACACAAAACCATCTTGGCATGATTTTCTCACCCATCGAAGCGATCTGAAGCGAAAGAAGGAAGTAGGCAGATACAAGGTTCGATATTGTTCATTGTATAAGAAAGAGTTTGTAAAAAAATCCAGCTCATTGGCTGGCAAAACTCACGATTGGTCACATTGCAGATAACTGGACGGCACATCGGTAGCAGCCTGTAGACAGGTTGCCGAAACAGCACACGAATCTGATTCTCGAGCACCCAAGTCTTGTTCTGAAAATGGGCATGATGAAATGAATTCAGGGTATTCTAGCGTTTCGGTTTAACCCTAGAAAGCTTCCGTACTACTTATCCACCCTTTGGATCCTGCATTTTCTTTCCAGATTTTGTTTCATCTGTGAGATCGGTCTCGCTAGAAAACGACCTCTCGTGTCAGAGCAGTTTGACGGAGGCTGACCGCTTTGGGATCATTAAACATTTTTGATCTTGTTAAGGCTGCACCATTCATAATGAAGCGTTAGGACTGAGCTGATGAATAGTACACTTATGTGGGAAAGGTTCAGGTGATAAAAAGTGACGCATCATACGGAATCTGCCAGCATACGTCCTCTTTTTCTTTTTCAAAAATCCCAAATGATTGACCGCTTTGGGATCATTAAACATTAAAATGCCATGTTTTCCTAGAGAGAAGTTTTATTTGACGTAATTTGCTCCGTGGATTTTCGTAAAATCATAGCTTGGTTGGGGTTGCATGTGGATAAGGGCCATCGACTGGATCAATTTGATCGAATATTTTCTCCCCCTTGTTAACTCCCGGGTCCCGCATCGTGGACATGGGCGACAAAAAAAATTAATGGCAACGACTTCCGTAATATCAAGAGATCGCCTATTCGCAAATTTCTTCGGGCTCCTCTGTCTATCAACACCTAAAACACCGTTAAATTCATTTCCAGTGACCAGATGTCGAGTTTGATCTGGCCAGAGTGAGAACGCGCCATGCATTCGGCTTCGTGTACAATGACCTGCAAGCGATAGACTGGGTACAGCTATTATAACAACTAACGATGTCTACAAGGCATTTCCCACTACTATGTTTGTACATGGCGCAGCGAATCAAAAAGCTAAGATCTTGCGAGCAACATACCACAGAAATTTGAATCTTCTTGCTCGAATTGCATGTTTGAGCTAGTCTGGCGACAATTGTACAACTATTGAAGCCTAACTGTATTAATTTGCATCCAACAATTATTCGCTTCTGTCCGAAGAAGACGAATCCCCACTTATCAGTGTAACTGATAAAAAAATTCTGTTCGTGCTTTTCGTTGAACATCTCCCTCTCCGTGTTGAGGCTCAAGTAAAGTGAGTGACGGACTTCGTTGGTGCGAATGTTTGCTTAAAGTGAACAGTTTGGTCACGACCGGCGGCCGCAATGGTTGCGGCGCCGTCGGAACTATTTAGGCCGCCATAGAGAAACGATGCTACTGCTGTTGAGTTCCAAGCAACCCCTTTGGCACCCTTGATTTCTTGAGAAGGAAACTTCTGTGTGGCGCACTGTAAATAGAACAAGGGTAAACACTTTTAGCCAGAAGCCATAAACATTCAATCACTGGGTAAAACCATCAGAAGCCTTTTTTTTTTCTTCGGAGAAGGGGCACCTTTTAGGATTGGTAAATAAATGCCTTTGTTTCGTCGAATTCCAATCCCCGCAGGAGGACGAAAGGGCCGGTGGTCACTATGACTGTCCGAGGATGCGACTACAAACTACCCACGTCAGGGATGATAAGCAAATGGTTTTCTGCATTCCATGTTGGCTGATACATGGGAATATCTCCAGAAAAATAATCTTGAATCGTGATAGATACTCATGCCGGATTGATCCATCGTCTCTCTTTCCAGGTAAGAGGTGTTAGGACTAGAGTGATGTCGGCTTTATCGAAAAAAATTTTAAAAATTGCACGTAAGTGAATCCATAAACAATGGCTCTTACACGATGAGCCTTTCATTCGTAGTGAGCAAAGCCATGCTTCATGGTGCGTACGGTAGTTCTCCTCTTATGCAATGCATACGTTTGGGCGACGTTACCTGTTCCGTCAATATTGGGCTAAACAAAGTGCTGTGGGCACCCGTCGATGGTGGAACCGGAGCCACGTGAGAATATTTCATTACGAACCTAACTGAGCAGTTATTTAGATTTGGTTTTACCGGAAAGCAGTCCACCGATGAGGGGTTTCACTATAACTGTATGGCGTTGCAGAGCACAGCATAGACTGAGTGCTCAGATTTGAAAAAAAGGACGTGTTCGGTTTTAGTTGGGGAAATGGTAAAAAGCTATTGCACAATTTGTACCATTTATTGAGTTCGGTTTTTCAGCTATTTCTAAATCTCAGCAGATGCAATTGCCAGGTTGATGGATTGCCAAAATGAACCGCTGCGGTCTTACGCCTTGCTACTGTTCTATACCGTATAAGCTGAATTCCACCCTTTTTTCTAGATGGCTTCTTTCGTCTTCATAACTATCCGGGGAATATTTTTGCCCCTTTTTGGAGCCCCGATTGGACTAGTGGTTGACGGACAGCGATTTGAGAGTTTATCGGTTTTTTTTTAAATGAGTAAAAGGCAGATCAAGTTATGTCAATATTTTGATGCCAATCGTTTGATCAGTGGAGTTATGGCATAACCAGCAAAAAACTTTATCACTGCGCTACCACTGGCAAGATCCAGAAAGCCTGATCCAGGAGCTACATCCGCCCGGGCCAACTATAACCATCCTTTGCTCCGGGTCTGGTCAGTTGTTGCTAGACTCATATGATAATAAAGTGCCGAGAGTGACATTGGCTAGATCCCTGAAAGTCACTGTAAGTCACGTAACGCTACATTCTGGACGGAAGTCTAATGCGAAGGATTTCCAATGCAGGGCGGAGAAGCTCTATTATACTGATGTGTGCTTGAAGGAGAAGAAGTTCTGATCATCCACCCGGATTGAAGAGAAAGGGAGAGAGAGAGGAGAGAAAGAAAGCTTCGTTGATTTCTTCACGATCACTACCTTTTACTGAGTAACCGATAAGCTGGTAGCGCATTAATCTCGGCGCGTTTGTTGTGACGACGAATGTTCTTCCGGGTAGCTCTCACTAATTGCTCTCTTACTTTGCTCCCACGAAAGCAGACCGATGGTCGAAGCATCGCGTATTTGCGCTAGTCCACTCGTCTATTTGTACTTCGATTATCACTGACTGTAGCCGATTAGAGAGCTACTGTCACAACACAGTCGATCCGCTTAGAATGCCTAAATATGCTGGAAGCTGTGCGCGATTACCGTCGGAGTAGGCCATGCCTACTGCGCCGCAATGATCTGTGGATGATCGTGGGAAAGAACGGTATTAGAGGATAAGTCGTACACCAAAGTTTTGTCACAATTTTTCTATTCCTACTAGAATTCCATACGGGATGTTTGCAAGAGGGACTTTTGTGTGTGATTTAGAGGATTTTCGAATTGTGCTTGGTGGCCAGATAATATCCTTGATTAGGTCTTTGAAATCCAGCAGAACAAACTTTCGAAATTTCTAAACCTCAAATAAGTCGAGGAGGAAGGGCTGAGCAACCTTTTAGGATAGGGACGCATTCTTTCAAAAATTTCGGAAATTGGGAGCAGAGTAATAAGAGACCCATTCGGTGTGTCGACAAATCCAGTCAACTTCGTGGGAAGTTCCACCCCCTGTCGACTGGATGTAGAAAAAAACACATGAAAAAATGAAGTAAAAACCAGAATTGGAATGCTTCAGATAGGTGCACAAATGGAGCATTGAACTGACCGCAAATATTAGGTGCGCCCTGCTTGCGCATGAGTTTTGGATGTTGTTGTGGTTGAGTGTTCTCGATTGGGATCGCCTGATTGACCGTAAACGAACTTGTCGTCGTCCCAACGGTTGACGAAGTGGATGCGGCGGCTGCCGCTCGAGACTTGACCACCCAAACTCCTTCGCCGGCAGCACTACTGAAGAAAACGGATTTAGTCGAGCAAAAAAAAAAATCAACATATGTCAATAAGGGTGAAAGATTCACTCGGATGTCGCTTCACATTTGAGGAAGAACTGCGTTTGTTTACCGCCGATTTGTACGTCAGCAGTGCCCAGTCGGCAGGTACCACCGATGACCGGCGTTTGGCAGAGACAGGTATTTACTGAAGAAAAAAGGATTGATTTGACTGGTTGATGGATCTTACTATAAGTAATCAGTTATATTGAAGAGGAGGCTATACTAGTGAATTGTTTAGTTGTGGCTGAAGAATAGGAAGGCAGACGTGTTACTCCTTTCTTTGAGTCTGAGTTGGACGGATGGCTTAAGGGTATGCTTGGATGGCATAGTAGGGGACATAAGGAAATACTTGGCTCTAACATTCTGTAGAATTGGGTTAGAATTGATGGATCACTTTTATGAAAAAGAAAAGATCTAATTTGGATCAAAAGTTAGCTGTTTATCCTACTGACAGCTCTCATCCCGAAGTAAACAAATCATCTATTTTGGTAAACGAAATGTTTTTCTAATTGCGTGAAATTTATTAGAAAAAACACTGCGAAGTGAGAGCGGGTGCTTCCAGAAAGTTCGAGATTTGAAAGAGTCAATAGCCTCCCTATTCTTTTCAGTGGTGTTAGCTTTTCAGTGCTTTTCAGTGAGGTCGAAGCGTAATCACTAGAGAATTTCCAGAAAATAAATACTCGAAGGTGAAGAAATCGGGCTACAGTACCTATCAGCATTATAGATGACGTTGCTTCAAGATACCCTTACTTAGGAGCATCCATGACATGGGTGAACCCTGTAGAGTCCCACGGGAGGTAATCTCTCCTCATTTCCCAAGAAAAAAAGGCAACTATCGAATTACCAACAATTTTTGCATGTTTTCTTTCGGAAATCCGACAAGAATCAGCTTAACTGCCATCCAATGATCAATCCTACTGTACTTGCCCTGTGTAAGAGCTAATTTTTAAATACCTTCAATAAGGGAGGTGAGAGCTAGAAATGGCATGCAGTGAAGCAGTGAAGAAAGAGACATGAGTATAAATTATAAGCTGATAACAATAATATACGAATAAGACTGAATTTCAATAGAATTGCTAAACAAAACTGAACTGACCAAGGAATAATGTCGTAATGAGCAATGGGTGCACCAATCGACCCTGCATGGCGGTGCTGTAAGTGTGTAGCAGTGGTGCTTGTGATGATAGAAGGAGGGTGGTGGACTAGGTAGATGTATTGCTGTGGTCAGGGGGCGGCTCTTTGAGAGGTGCCTCCCGTGAAGGTATGCGTCCGTCTCTGTGTGTGTGCGCGTTCCGTTCGCGTCTCGAGCCTCGCTGCCCGCCTCCTTTGAGGGCTTTGGGTTAGCGGTGTATGGGTGCCCCCGAGGAAAAACGAGTTTTCCAGCACACACACAAAAATCGTACAAGGCTCCTCGAAGGATTGCGAGGAACGCCTGAATGGGAACATTTGGAGCCGGTCTTTGGAGCACGGTGATTCAGCTTATCAGCGTAGGGCCAAGCCTTTCATGGCTTGCCATTTTATGTGACTTGCTGAAGAAGACGGCTGTAGCGCTCATTAATACTGAACGGCTTGTGAGGAACTGTAAAATGCTCAGTTATTTCCATATGTGACGAAAGTAGAACGAATTCAAGAGGGATGGTACGACACCCATTATCGTTGAATCTGGACAAATTTAAGCCTTTCGAGGTTTATCAAATACACAGTCCCTCCAGGCTTGGTATATGGGAGGTAGGCTGGTCCAGGACCAACACTGCAGTAGTACGTACTGAATGAGAAAGTTACCGTACAGATCAAAACAGCTTTCAGTAGTCCTCCTAGGTTCTTAACAACACTCGGAAGGATCACACTTTTCAAATATCTCCTTTATTTGCCTCGAGTTTGTCACAAAAGTCATATTACATTCACAAATAAAATGCGAAAGGCGTTGTGAGATATTATCGCTTCAATTGCGCCACACTCCTGAAGCTTAATCAGATTTGTCCACGCTTTGAATGGGACAGAGCGTATAGGAAATATTTTTGAAGAGAATCCCTAGTATGGTATGGTCATCATGGAAAAAGTAAGGATAAAATGAAAAAGTTAAGAAGCTGGTCATTTTACTCACTAGTACTCCTGAACGTTTGGTCCGGCGGATGCGTCGGAAGCACTGGCTACCTGCGTGAAAGCAATTCTTTGTTTGGGTGTATGAAGTGATTTAGAGATGGGATAATGGAAGTGGTGTTCATTCCCCATGTTGATTTTCACTTCCTACGCCTTATTGGTCTATAGGAGAAATCGCATTGTAGTTTTGCAAGGATCAGTTCTCCGTCCTTCCAGAACCCCAATCTTTCGCAAATATGAAAAGTTTCGCTAGTTGCCCACAGAATTCGAATAGACTCACTGGCGAGCACTCTTTCAAGGAGCACTAAAATTGTTATAAGGAGTTGAATGTGTGGCGCACTTGAAAGGCTTGAATACTTATTTCTCTATCAAAATTGGATCGTTGAAAAAGCTGAATGTTTATCTGTTATCGGTATAGCTGCATCACGTTGTGTTCAGCAGAAACTCTTTTTCACCTTTATACTTGGGTTAACAATGAACTACTAGCTCGTTCAAGACGCTCGTATATTGATTGACAGTCGACCCATCTATTTCAATGAAGGCTCCGCTTTATTTAGACACAAAGCCACCTCGGGCTAGCCAAATATGGTGCTGATGTCGTCGCGCGCGGAGCAAAAAGCTCCAAGCCAATTCTAAGACAAGCATCAATTAGACCTTCTATTGACCGAGTATCTCCTTTCCTGAGCTAACTTAAATCTGGATTTACATGTTCTCGAAAAGACAAATTTGGTGATGACTGGAATCTTGAGAGAAAAAAAAANAAAAAAAAACATAGTTTTGTAGAATACACTCATCGATAATAATTCTCAGTTAGGCAATCTCCGCATATTAATGTGAGTTTTAGATCAATATAAACCGATCAATTTCGCAAAATCACAGCCCTTCTGGGGTTTAGACTAGCAGCATAAGGAATAGTAAGGGCCCTTTGAAGCGAACTCTCGTGAGCGCTTCACATAACCTTACCGTGATTTTCGTACGTTTTTAGAATGCATCAAACATTGCTGTTATAATTTTGAGTCTTCCTCAACGAGCTAGCGCACTTTCAGAATAACATTTCAGACTAAGACAAGAGGTTGAAATCATTTTTTTGATAATGAGTTGTTTGGATGTTGAATCTGTCATCATATTTAAGTGTGGCTTTGTATATTTTTAGGTGGATCAAACATTATATGGTTCTCGAATGCTCTGTTTACCACCACCAACAGTTTCTCGTGTACATGATGCGAGTTCGGAGTTTTTCGTGGTAGGTGGATTGAAGATATGTTTTGACCTCGCCTTGTTGATAACACACGGTAAAGGTAATCAGATGGCAATAGAGCGGTGCGGGGAGGGCCTCCAAGTGTTCATATCAAACAGTGATATAAAAATATTAAGAAATAGAAAAAAAGAGAAAATAAATTTCCCTTCGGAAACCGTATTCATATATCTTAAGGTAGAGGTAACCGGGTTGAATGTAATACAGTACGAGCGAGCAGAAATTCATTCGAGAGCTACTACCGGAGTATTCATCTAGTATTCAGGCTTAAATCAGGGGCAATAACGAAATTTTCCATTCCATCGAATCTCAACTATTTCTTTAGGTTTTCCTTTATTAGTGAGATGGGATGGTTGATAGTGCTCAGCTTTTCAGCTTGGTTCTTCAGGTACCATGAAATGTATTTAGTAGAATATGCCTTTAACTCATTTCTGCTTCCACCAGAACCGGAGATTACTGCAGTAGGTGCTTCTCACTAGATGGTAGACTGATCATTCGTTTCCTTGAGCGACTCTGTTCGGGAAGGCGAACTTTTCATTCTTCTACGAAGGCTTCTTCAGTGTTCTTTCAAGGAGAGTAAATGTAGTCGAGATTTAAGGCTCTTCACGAAATTCCTTTCTCTTCGCTCTGCCTGTGAAGTAATGATTTCCCTTGATGATTCGAATTGATTTCCCAAACTTTTGCGAGGCTTTTGTAGGTAACCCTTAGGGAATGTGTTTATGTAAACATTATGTCAAAGTTCGAGATGTTCTAAATGCGTGAATTTTTTCTCTATGTATTCCTTCATACATCGTTCTGCAATACAATTTTTGCAAAATTTTTATAGTATTCATAAATTAACCTTGCAACAATTTTCAACATCTGCTAGTTGTAAAATGTTTGTGAGGTAAGCCGCCAAGATTCGAGAGAGTTGCTCTTTGCAGCGTAATTTATTACCTTACCTCACCTTTCCTTTTCTTTCTTGTCGCGAGTGGGGTTTTCGCGAGACTAGTGTTAGAGCTTCCTTTGAGTGGATCTCCAGGACTACTCCCCATGATGTTTTCTAAAGGTGTTCCCATTTTGCTGCTTGTCGACGAAAGTATTCTTAGTATTTAAGAGTATACTAATGAGTCTGACAGCGAGCAGTAGCAAAACCCTTCCATAACCCCAGCTTATAACATTAACATCTCCGAAAATTATATCTTATACTAGATTGCATCTAGGAGTGAGATGCTCTTCTGGGTGTTTTCATCGCTATATCACTGATTGTGTGCGCTGTGATGTTTTCAGAGAGCTAAGGTCGGTCTAATACAATGGTGGATGTTTCCTTCGACGTGCATTTCGCTGTTTGCTTCTGCAGAAAGTATTTAGTCATCAAGAATGTCCATATTTGCCTATTTCTTGGAATGATGATAGTTAATCCTGAGGTAATGACAGCTGTCTACTGAAGTGCAAAAAATGTAGACGTTCCGGACTTGATCTTGAGAATTGAAGCAACAGAACTGATGTGAACTATGCTTCCGATGGTCTTCCATTTCCAATCTGCTCGAGCAAACCTTTCGTACCTGAGCTGTTCCCTCGGGTAGGTACAGGCTGTTGATGAGCGCTGATAATCAGGGAATAATTCGCTCTCCCTTGTAGAGTCGGAGTACTGCTCTATGACATTTGTAGAAGTGGAGAGTCTGCTCATTTGGTGATTTGAGCATAGAAATCGAAGGTACAGTAGGAAACAAATTTTAATGAAGCTTGCGTGAAGTAATTTTTTTGATTTTCGGGGATTAGGTTGTGGTGTTTCCGGGTGAATGAGTAAGAATAAGAATTTACCCAATTTCTACCTTTTCCTTCATTTGAACTATCGAATTTTTCTTCTTTATTGATCAAGAATAGTCCATGAGTACACAGGTAAAAGGCTTCTCAGGAGGATCTCATGGTCGGAATTGCTTCTGTGAGAACATTTTCCTGTCCCTGCGCATTTCCTAGCTTGTATGGACGTGCGCAGGCATTGGATATATGCGCGCAGAATCAATATTAATGTTTCAGTACACTGAGATGTACTCATTTGATGAATCTGTTCACTAGTGGTCATTTTCTTTTGTCCGAAATGTACAACCAATGAGCTGTATCGTTGTGTACATAAGACGATGATTCCTTTTTTTCAAATTCCTTTGTTTGTTTGCTAAGCGAAGGATCGTCTTCCATCACGACTTACTGCCCTGAATGCGATAACGAAATTTCGTTAGTTTTTTCCAAGTCCAGTCCTGTCCATCTTAAAAACGCCAGGAAGTATCCAAATACCCAGATGCAGAGGTAATCCACACTGAGTAGGGAATTCTCGACTTCTCAATTTCGAGCAGGAAAGCTCGTGCTTCAGCTTTTGTAGGTGCTCACTTACCTATCTTTAATAGCCCTTTTATCTAAATTTGTCTCTTGCGGAATGCTATTGGTCCAGACTGGATAGCTGATTGGAAATTTACTACGTCTGTTTAGGAAACCATCTTGATGCCTGATCGAACTTCTGTCGCAATCCTATGGCTTCACAGTCGCTAGAAAAGGGCCTTTAGCCTTCCTTCATCCTCTTAGCCCTCCGTCTGAATCCGAGAAGTCGGCAGTGTTTAACCTAATTTTGGTGGCTTGAGTGGGAATTGAAGTGAGCTGAGATGTCGGACAAGACAGGATGAGATCAGGCTCGCGCAGCACCAACAGCAGCAGCAGCAGCAAATAAGGTTCGCGCATGGCTGCTGGCTAGAGCTGGGGGTGCGCCTCGACGATGAGAGGCTCTGAAGCGAGTGAGGGAATGCGAGGTGGAGTGCATTGGTCTCGGGAGCGCCGTACACGGGGCAAACACGCCGTCTCACGAATCACCTCGACCAGTCGAGCGCTTATCAGCGTCGGTCAAAGAAAAATCACGCATTCTGGGGATATTTCTGGCTCCAAACACACCGGAACATAGACGATAAAGTGCTGAACAAATCCAATCGACAAACCCGAAATAACTCTGATGCACTTAGCTTTTTATGGCGCTTGTTCTCCTGCTTGGCGGGTTGTTTGCGCGGATTCCTGAGCGGCTAATGATTGTGTCGGAGAAAGCTGCCTGTGGATGTATTAGTCACAAAGTAAATCAAAACCTAAAAAGCTAATTAAAGAGGATCTATGTAAAAAGCCTCATCGAGTGGACAGCAGTCCAGTTCTAGTGGATTGCAATCACTGACAAGAGTGGGATGCTTTGCATTGCATCACTGAAATTTGACCAGAATTTTCACCGCGATTAGTACATAGCAAACTGATTCGAAGGAGTAAGATGTGCAGAGAGAATAGTTTATTAGGAAATGAATTCAGAATTGCTCGACATCGGGCAATCCTGTGCCATTGGTGTAAATAAGTACGCCACGAACTCAATTCGCGTGCGAAAACATTGGCTTCAAAAGTGGGTTTGGCCTCTACTTGATAATTTGAGAGTAGAAGGCTCTGAAGCCAAGGAACTCACAGTTCTACACTACTATTGCTACTGTAGTACTGAACACTAGGTTGCCTGGTCAAGAAAAGGCCCTGCTTCAGACTTGATCTTCGCATGATGGTGCGTTTGTATGGCGCCTATTGCCCATGTCTTTTTCTCTCTGCCTTCGATAATCCAACATATTTCCTAAAAAAGTCCAAAAAGTCTCTGTCTTTAACAGCATTCGACTCTCATTCAGAATCGTATTCAAGTATTGATAGCGTATTTGAAACATACCATTACTTGCTATATCTAAACAGCGCTACTATCCAGATCTCAGATCACTCTGGTGGTAACAAACCGACATCGGAGGGATGGAAGACTGGGTTGCACTGGTTGGATATCTACTCGGAACTCGATCTGAGGACCAATGCTTGTGACCGTGAACCACTTGCCACTAAATTATATTTCCCATTCTCAGAGAGATATAGAACTTCTCTCGGTAGAAGATTAGGGAGTACAAAATTGGTCATCACTTTCGGAAGCTCTTTTCCATATCGCCAATCAGCTGTTTTTGTTCACTGATTTAGGGCGTTAAAAAGTTTCGCCTTGCTGAAATGGGTATTTTGCCCCTGAGCTTTCGGCCAGGAGATGGTGTTTCCGCATTTCAGTGGAAAGGTCATGGAACTCATTTTCAAATAATCGCTTCAGATGAGTAATTGAAAAGCTGTAGTTCGAATTGGAACTCCATTTAGTTGAGAATAGAAGCATGATCCTCGTATAGGGGCGCTGTACAGGCATGGAAGGTTAAAAGTCACCAACTCGTACATCTGTTTTAAAAGGACATTGCTGACATGGAAGAAGTCGTAAGCGTTGGGCATGCCAGGATTTCGGGATAGTCAGTATTTCAACTCCCGATAACCATAACTATTTCGGTTGCAAACTGAATTGTGCTGCTTGTTTGTTGTCTTTATTGATTCACTGAGACACCTAGGATTGTTGTCATATACACACCAATTTTTTTAATCGTTCATCTCACAAGGGTTTTGGTACCATCTCGCCTTAGTTTTGAATTAACAGTAAATTCTATTAGGAATATTTATTAATGCAACCCGTTCATGTACAAAATACAACGATTTCAAAAGCTTTCGTAAATGTTGTATTTTTACTTTTGACCTGTCTGCAGTACAATTCAGAAATCGCCCCCCCCCCCCCCCCCCC